CACTTGAGCGTAGGAGGTTGAGGGTTGACCTTATAGCGGCTTATAAAATTATGAGGGGTACAGATAAGGTGAATGTCAGGTGTCTTTTCCTTAGGGTGGGGCATTTCAAGACTAGGGGGCATATTTTTAAGGCGAGACAGGAAAGATTTAAAAAAGACTCTATTTTTTACACAGAGAGTGGTTCATGTGTGGAATGAAGTTTCAGAGGAAATGGTGGATGCAGTACAGTTACCACGTTTAAAATACATTTTGGTAAGAACATGAATGAGAAATGTTTGGAGGAATGTGGACCAAGCACAGGCAGATGGGACTAGTTTAATTGGGATTGTGGTTGGCATGGACTGGTCGGACCAAAGGGTCTGTTTCCGTGCTGTATATCACACACGTCCTTCCTTATGGCCCGATACATCCATCTCTCCCTACTGGATCTCACAGTGTCACTAATGTTTGAGGTGTGGGGGGTGCAGGGTATTTTGAAAAATTCACAGTATCTGCCTCTATTTCATGTGATGCTTGCAGTGTTTTGTGGGGTATTCAACCATAGTTTGTTTCCTACCAATACCTGCCTCATGTTAAAATTGGCGTGTTAGAATACAAGTTAAATCTATCTTTTCACAGTTAAATATTTATTGTCAATAATCTTCGCATGCTGTTTGAGGAAGTTTTGTTTGAAAGAAACTCATTGTTCTTTGTTGACTGAAGAAATTTTGCTGTATTGAATCTAACACTAAATCAGGCAGAGTCTAAAGCCTACATATTTGGCCATATCAGCATGGTAAAATTTAAAATTTGTTGCGTCAAGTGGAGCAGTGGGAATATAAAGGAATTGGTATGCCTCTCCAACATCAGTCCAAACTATTTAAAAAGCATGCCTGATTGTATTTTGTGAAGTAGAGTCGGTTGCAGTAGAGGAAAGTGTCTGCGGTACAAGATGTAGAACTGAGAGGTGTGACACAATGGAATTTACAGCACCACCACTGCTCCGAAGGTGTAACTGCAGCGTGCCAAGTTTACATAGACATTTCTCATTACAATCACGAACTTAGGAAATTATAATACAAAGGTTTTGACACAAAAATAACAACAGGATGTCTATTTTGCAAAAACAGGTTCTGTAAAGGAATAATACTTATGTTACACTACTGATGGTGCGTTTACTGTTTTACCGTGTTTATATGTTGCCAACATTTCAAAACCTGAAACTTCCATCGTCTTTTTTAGTCTCTAGCCTGAAGCACAAATTTACCACCTTAACTGGAAACCAGTCAGGCACCCCACACTTAGGAAGCAGCTGGGAAACAGGAAGTGGAAACACTAAAACTGGCACAATTTTAGGGGGAGGCAATGATTTAGTGGTATTATTGCTGGACTGTAAATCCAGAGACCTGGATAATGTTCTGGGGACTCAGGTTCAAATCCCGCCATGGCAGATGGTGGAATTAAGAATCTAATGATGACCATGAATCCATTATTGATTATTAGGGAAAGACCCATCTGGTTCACTAATGTCCTTTAGGGAAGAAAACTGCCATCCTTACCTGGTCTGGTCTACATGTGACTCCAGACCCACAGCAATGTTGTTGACTCTGAACTGCCCTTTGGGCAAGTAAGGATGGGCAATAAATGCTGTCTAGCCAGCCTCATCCTGTGAATGAATAAAAGAAAATGAGGCAATGAGGACCATTGCTGGCCTCGTGATAATTTATGGGAGGGGTGAAGGCATTACCTGCCACCAGCATGCACAACTTACTTTAAATCCCTCTTCATTCCAGTCCATGCATCCTATAATCTGTAAGGAGTCTAGGGAGGGCCTGACCACCAGCCCTTTAAGGTCACTCCATCTGGGTGCAGTACAGGATCATCGACAAGAAGGTGAGATGAGAGGACAGGGGAGCTACATTAAGCCCACCCTTTACATTGTTTCCTATTACAATGCCTGTAAGGATCATACATCTTTTTTCCCTTTTTGGACTAAAAAACGAAAAATAGAATTTGGACATTGCAAAAGGTACCAGGAGTTTTTGCAATGTGAATATCAAGTGGGGTTGTGTGATGTACATTTTAGCTGCTCAAAATTGTGTTACTTTGAGAGAGTGAAGTGAATACTTTATGAGAGAGCGTGACACCAGGATTCTTTGAGTTATGAGAAAAACTACATAATGACAGCCTTCAGATTGGTCCAGCTGTAATCTGGAATAGACCTGTGAGCACTGTGCACTTAGAGACATCCAAAAACTGCAAATAAAAAGCACCTGTCACCATCTTTCTATGTGAATGAAAAAATCAAAACTTGAAGACTCTGCAAAGTCCAAATACAGGAAAAGTCCTAGATCCACTCATTCAGCTATTGAATCGAAGATCAACCATCAATGGGCAGGTAACATTGTGGCACCATTGCTGAAAAAGATCTAAGGAGCTGTGAGAAACAATTCATTCCACCCATGTGACCTGGAATCTTGAATTACAAACTTTGTTTCTCCTGTCTGCATTTTTCCATCCATATCTGTCATATTGCCTATTTTTGCCTGTCTTATTCATGAATGAATGTATGTGTGTGCGTGTGGTTCATGTTTTAAAGGGGTACAGTTTAAATTGTATAGTAGCGATGAGTAATCTGAGTAGCAATGAGTAGTGAGTAATAGTAATGAGTAAAAATCACTACTTACTTTGCAGTTAATGAAGAAAACTGGTGTGAATTGATTTTGTCCAGTCAGGCAAATTATTCATTTTGGTGGTTTAATTGGGTAGTTATACATTTGTGATGGCTTATGAAATTGTGGGGTTCGACTATTGGCACAGTCTTTCCAATTGTCACACCATTATTTACTAATCCCTTAGTACCTTGAAAACTTTAGTCAGATCATCATTCAACCTTGCAAATTTGCAGGAAAACAACTCCAATTTGTGCAATCTCTCATAATTTAACCCACCAAGTCGAATTATCCTGGTGTGTATCTACATTGGACTTTCCTATGGTGTAATGCACAGAACTGCTCACAGTAACTCCAGGTGTACTCTGGCTAGGGTGTATAGCTGCAGCATAACTTCTCCTCCTAACGAGAATAGAAAATGCTAGAAATACCCAGCCCGTCAGGCAGCAGCTATGGAAAGAAAAAAAGAATTAACGCTTCGGGTCAATGACGTTTCATCAGAACTCTATCCCCTTGTGTTCTAGTCTTAAGGATGTAACAGCCTGCATTCCATTAACATTTTTGGTTTTTTTTTTACGTACCACCACATAACATTTTAATGATTATATGTACCTGGACCTAAGTCTCTTTGGATTGCCACTGCTTCCAGCTTTTCACCATTTCTAACATATCCTATTCTCTTCTCTTCTTTTAGGTTAACTTTACAGATGGTGACAGAGTTTTGTTCATTCACTTATCCTATCAATATTCTCTTTGTAATTTTATGCTTCCATCTACACTGCTAACTTTTTGTATCATCTGCTAACGTGGAGCTGTGGCTTTCTAACCAGTTATCTAAATAATTAGTAAATAAATTGATTTTTTATCTTTCTCTTTCTATTGAAAATTTCCAGTATCAGCACTTTTTATGTTTCTCCTTAGTTATGAGTTTTGTTATTTTGTCACCTCCTACGTTGTTCATATCACGGCTCTGAAAGGGTAACCCCAGACATGGCTAGCAGCCAGGGTGATTTATGAGCTAGAAAGAATATTTTCTGATTATCGACACTTGCAGATTGTTCTGCCTGCTAATGGTACTGAGTGCTAACTTCCTGAATTAACAGATAGAAATGGAGATGAATTTTACGTGTCAAAGCTCCAACTTTTCATTTGTTGCCTTTATCACTTACTGGCACATCTGTTTACAAATAAGGAGGTTAACTTCCTTGCAGAAAATGTAGCACGTGTGCAGTTCGGTGTTATCACACAATACAAAGGCAGCTATTTCTAACTATTTGCATGAATTTGCATTGTAATTTTCATCACAGGCATTTTGGTGAGGCAAGGGGTAACACAGTTAAAACCACACCCATGACCACAAGAACAGTCATTTCTTACCGTGAGCAAAGAGGCTCATGTCACAAATAAACCAATCCTTGTAAAATTAAATATTGCATTTATATAGCATTTTGCAAGCTCAGGAGCTCCCAAAGTACTGCACTATGATCAAAGAGCAGGAGTAGTCCACTTGGCCCCTTAACCCTGCTCCACCATTCAATAAGATCGGTGGCTGATTTGAATATAATCTCAAATTCACATTTCAGTCTACCCTGACAACCTGTCAATCCCTTGTCTAACACAAATCTATCCACCTCTGCCTTAGAAATATTCAAGACTTTGCCTCTACCATCTTCTCAGGAAAAGGGTTACAAAGACTCACAGCCCTGAAAGAAAAATTCCTTCTCATCTCAGTTTTAAAAGGGCAAATCCTTACTTTTAAACATTGAATCCTAGTTCCAGATTCTCCCAGGAGAGGAAACATCCTTTTTACATCCACCTGGTCAAAACCCCTCAGGATCTTATATATTTCATGGCCAATAATATAATTTGTTTTAACAAGTTTGGTTGAGGATTAAATATTGGCCACATTAAAATTCCTTCATTCTTCTTTAAAATAATGTTTGTAATCTTTAATATATATCTTAAACAAGAAATAGCACCTCCAAAAGTACAGCACATTCTTACTGCTATACTGAAGTGTCAGATTATGTGTTTAGTCTCTGGCGTGGATTTTGAACCCAGCTGTTCTGTCTGAGGAGGACTGCAACTTGAGCTACAGCTAAATGTGACATGGTGCTAGGACAAGAATGGACCCATGTAACAATTATCTTAAATTGATGAATGGACCCAAACAGACAAGACTAACTAGTCAGAAGAGACATTTAATTTCAACACAGTGTGAGTTAGTGTACTGCCTCCTTAATTATTAGTGATTGTTTTTCTATTTACTACAGGGCAATTTATCATATGGCATTATTAAACTTCAGATCTGGTGGGATTAGGGCTGACTGGCTATCCAACCTTCAAAGCCAGCTTGAAGTAAATGTCAGTCCTTGCCAGGTCTGGGGCGTAAAGGGGTCAGAGTGCAATCAGGCGGAAGTAGGAGTGCAATGGGTGCAGGGTGTGGTTGTGAGGCAAAATGAACTGGAAGGAAACCAAATGAGCAAGCAAAATATTTGTTCATTTGTTCCGCCATTTCCTTATTATCTCCTGTTAACTCC